AACTGTGACCCAATTTATTTATCTTGTGTCTGATCAGTATGTGTTCTCCTTCCTCCTTACTCTACTGCAAAAATATTAGAAGGACAACAACAACCAAAAGGTGCTCATTTTTATTAAACTGCCATCTTTAATATCGCAGCTGTAACCTCTACATTTCACCTGGGTTTTGATTGCTGGCAGTATTCGCTATTTTTCATTTCATGTTTTTCTGACACCATTCAGAGCTTTTGATGACGTGAATAGGAAAGATGCCCTCTTTCTCCAGGTAATATTCTGGGGAGGATATAAGTGGACCTGGCATTCTAAGCAGTCATCTTTGTCACCTCAAGGGCAATCTGTCTTGAAATAAGAGCCAAAAAAGGGGACTCAATCCAAACTCAAGAATAACTTATAGAATAAACACTGGATCACTTTTGATCCCAAGATCCTTCATGACACTCCTGACTCCCGAATCATGTTCTAATCTCAGATTTCCTCTGTTTGAATTTCCCCTCTGTTAACTTCAGTCCATTTTTTTTCATGTCACCAATTCAGCTTTCACTAAGCATTTTGCTTTTTGCTAAGCATTTTGAATGTATCCTTTATGGGACTTACATCTGACCAGGGCAGTCACGCTTCACTGTGAGAAGCATTCAGGAAGGCATGGGTGCAATGAGCAGTACATGGTTGGAGGACGGAATCAGCACTGAGGATACTAAGAAGCCTCTGGGAGAGACAGCAGCACAGCCAAGTCTAAAATGCCCTGTAAGAGCTGTTGTCTGCCTCTACTTGCCCCAGGCACTACAGAGATTCTTTCTTTTTTATAGTTTGCAATCATTCCAACTATGTAAACATTTCATTGCTCTCGATGGCTCACTGTGGAAGTGGGGACCACAGCTCATCAGCTAGAAAAGTCAGGGTGTTAAACAGAGTTGAATTTGAGGATAAACAGAGAGAACTGGGCCTAGTAATCTAGCGGAATGGACTATATTTCCTTAGGGCCAAGAGAATTTTGCTCCTTGAATAAATGGTGAGCAGAAATTGGTCAATTATTTTTTCCTGTTTCTTATACTGAATGAATTTAGTGAACTTTGAGTAAATTAAACATGTAGGATGTAACTCCATGATAGGAAAGCATACTTAAAAGGGAGAATAGTCACCAGGAGAGAGCCGCATTTTGCAAAGATATCTAGTCCTTACAATGTGTATATCCAAGATGCTGGACACTGAACTTTATTAAAATTGTTTACTTGTTATATAAAGCTGGGAGAGAATGATGTTCTGCTTGCTTCCTTGTAATGAGAAAAACAAAAAACAGAAAAACAGAAGAGCATTTATAGAAAAGAGCATTATAGAAAAGAGTTGTGGATCCAAGGGTCAGAGTAGAGCAGTGCTGTCCAAGAGAATTTCCTGCAAGCACAGAACTGTTCATCTGTGCTGTCCAATGTGGTAGCTGCCAGCTACATGCGGCTATGAGCACTTGAAATGAGGCTGCTTTGACGGAGGAAGTGAAGTTTTAATTGAACTCATTTAAACGTACATGGTCACATTTGGCTATTGGCTACCATACTGGACAAGCACAAGTAAATTTGGAGCCAGACAAAACGTTGAAAACCCAAAGCCCACATGGGTCAGGCCACATGCACCTTTAAGATTTATCTCCTTTAGCCTACATTATGTTTAAAAAAAAACAAAAAACAAAAACAGAGTCAACCCGAGAAATACAGAGATACCAAAAAGAAAATTTCTCAACTTTAAACATCTCTTGAAAAGGTTTTGTAATACGAGACCAGGAGTCCTGGCTGGTGACAACTGGCCAGTGCTGAGATGCAGTCGTGATCACTGGATGTAACTAAGCTGCATGTGGGACAGTTTTCAGGAATTATTGAATGTGTCCACATGTTTGTAAGGGCCACCTTTTTCAGTTTTGTTATTTGCCCAGTGCCCACTGGTATTTGCATATTATGCCCTAGTCTAGTCCAAATATGTGGTCTCTTGTAAGGCTGAACAGCAGCAGTAGAAGCGACCAGGGAACCTCCGATTTGGGGATCTTTCATCTTAGCAAATGCTGGGCATTTCTAACCCTATGAAAAGTCAGAGGAAATCCTTCCCATTTAAAAAAAGTTATTAATACTTCCTCAGGGTAACCTCTTTTAGCATCATCAGCAATTACGATGAGACTAAATATTAATTAACCTTTAAATACAGGCTTTGGGGCTCAGGCAGGGAGATGCAAAAGAAAGAATAAAATTCTCAGTTAAATCCTAAGACGTGTTATTTCTCTTGAGAATTTCTGAACTTTTGGATTTCTAATACGGCCAATTAAGAGTTCTTTTTACCCAGTGGGATAATAACAAAGACAAGATCTCTCATCAGACGAGTTTGCCTCAGTCTACAAGACAGGCTCTGGGCTTTCAAAGAACATACTTTTACAAGACTCTTCAACTTTAATCTGTATCTTGAGAAATATGTTTGGATTGCTTTTAACTTACAGATTCACACGGACTGTTAATTTTTCTCCTTGTTGT